CCCACAAAACAGTGTGTATGTAAATGATATGAATAATATAATTAAATGTAATCCCAGCTGACTATATAGAATACTGGAAGGATAACATCAATTGTGCATAAACTCTTTTAGAAAATGGTAAACGAGAGAACATTTCTAAGTTCATTTAATGAAGCCAGTAAAACTTTGTTACCCCCGACAAGGGCACTGAGAAGAAAATCATGGACCAGTCTTTCTCATAAGAGAACCAAAATTCTATGCAAAAGAACTTAAAATAAAATAATGTATTATTGAGGTTTATATACCACATCAAAATGGGTTTTATTCCAACTACACAAGTGTGGAGTATGTGCAAATCAATCATTGTAATTAACTGCACTAACCACAAAAAGGGAGAGAAATCATGATTATCTCAACCAATACAAAAAAGCATATACAATACTTCTCTATAGAAAACTACAACACATTATTGAGACAAACTAAAGAAAATATAAGAAAATGGAGGGATATGTTATGTTCAGTGATTAGAAGACTCAATATTGAAAAGCTATTAATATCCGTCTAAAGCTACTGATAGCTACAATTTCAACACAACTCTGTTAAAAACCCCTGAAGTTTTTACAAGCAGATTCTAGAACTTACATGGAAGTGCAGAAGGTCAAGTATAGCTCAGCTGATCTTAAGGAAAAGAGAGCTAGAAAAATTGCACTACCTGTTATGAAAACTTACTATAGTGCATTAGTGATTTAGATAGTGTGGTATTTGCACGTGTATAGATCAATAAACCAGTGGAACATACTGGAGCCCTAAAAATGGACTGAACTGACCCATATCAGGTCGCCTGATTTATGACACAGCTGACACTGTAGTGGGGTAAGGATGGTCTTCCCAATTATTGATTCTTAGTCAATTGGCTATCCCTATGGGAAAAAAATACTCATGGCTTTTTACCATACATTATATTGAAAAATCTATTCTAGATTAATTGTGTATCTAAAAATGAAAAAAATTTCAAATTAAACAGAAGAAAACATAGCATACTGTCTTTATTACCTTTGGGCAGTCAGATTCCTTAACAGAACTTGACAATGCTGACTTTGAAAAAAATTTGACAAAATTGGTAATACTGAAAGTTAGATATTCTGTTCATCAAAAGATACCAGTTAAAGAGTGAAAAGGAAAGTGGAGGAAGATATTTACAATACGTATCTCCAACAGAGGAGTAATATCTATGCTAGATAAAGAACTACTACTAATCAATAAGAAAAAGGCAGGCAACCAAACAGAAATATGGCAAAAGACTGCAAAAGGCACTTCACAAAACAGGATATCCAAGTGTCCAATTTATACGTAAGAATGTGCTCACCTTTATTATTCATTGGGTAAATGCAGAATAAAACCACAGTGCAATCCAACTATATCTATTACAACAGCAAAAGTGAGAGGCAGAAAATTCTGGGTGTTCTTGAGCTTGTGGAGCAACTGAAACTCTCATCAAACGTTAGTGGGAATCTACATCAGAAACTGTTTGCTGCTTTCACAGAAGCTGAACATAGATATACCCTATAGTCCATCAATTCCACACTTAGGTAAATTCCCAAAAGAAATGCATTAAGTAAATTCCCATCAGAAATGCATACTTATTTTCACGAAAGATATTTATAAGAATGTGCATGTATTTATAAGAGCCCTATAACTGGAAGTAACACTATTGTCTATTAACAGTAGAATGGATAAATTGTGAAATAATCATACAATGATATGATATACTAAATAAGAATTAGCTAACTAAAACTATACACATGAATGAATCTCAAAGTATAATGTTGAGTGAACTAAACTACACACACAAAAAGGACGTTGAATTTATATAAAATTCAAAGTAGGCAAACCTGTATGATTTTAGTTGTCAGGATGGTGATTACCTATGGTGAGGGTATGTTAACTCTGTTAAAATTCATTGAGCTGTATACTTAGAGCTGAGCACTCTACTGTAAGTATGTACGTTTTCAATAATAATATTTATATTAATTTTAGTAACTTCACTAGGTTCTGTGAATACAAAGGAAAATACAGTTATTCCCTGGTCAGTCTTATTTGGAAGGCAGAAGTGTAACTGGGGTTAATAGCAGAAATATCACTGACTACTGCTTCCTGAAATCTATGAGGTATAGTACTGGATACCTGTGCCATGGCTGTCCCAGAGAAACCAGACATTTCCATTCCTGTCTTGCCAGATGATCTGATCTCTCTACAGACTGACATCCCTCACTTTGGCCTCCAAGTTTTGCAGTAGCACAACAGACTAGCAGAAACTAGGTCACATACAAGCACTATAACTGCAAAAAATTTGTACAGAAATTGTCTGGCAGACCAGAAAGTGTTGGAATGGATGTTGAATGAGCTACCTTATGGGATCTGCTGTAAACCAAGTAAAGGGTGTAGGAAAGTGAGAAATTCAAAAAGAAGGAAGAGCAGCTTTCAAGATATATTGGCACATAGCTATGTGAGTAGAATCGGATTTCTTAATAGCCTCCCCTTCTTCTGATGTTAAGCTTTAGAAATTTGGGCTTAGGAGAGGCACAACTTGCTTCTCCATTTGTATATGAGAGAGAGAGAGAGACAGACAGACAGACAGACAGAAACAGAGACTTTGGAGAACTTAGCCAAATGATACCCTGCCTGGGGCTCAGTTTCTTCACTCAGTATAGTGATACATACACAGTGCACAGGACTGCTGTGAAGGCTAAATGAGACTATGCTCAGGCAAGCATCTCACGTGGTACCTGGCACATATTAGAGGTTTAACATGAGCTTCTTATATCTGAGAGAGACCATGGCAGCTGGCGAGAAAGGAGAACTTGAGACAGATCGTATGCAATTATTCATACTTTCTTCTTCTTTCTGAAGTTGTTCCTTCTAAGTCATTAACCAAAAAAAAGAAAAAGAAAAAGAAAAGATGAGTAGAATTTATGGTGGCACATTCATCCTTGATTCAGATACGAATACAGTGTAATTTCATGTTTACCTGATGGAACTACTTTTCTACAGAGGAAAATAAAAGGCAAGTACAGAGACTACACATTATATAGAACAAGTATAACATGAGGCAAGCTTTTAAAGTGGGTTGCAAGGAAATTCTATTCCATATCCATGAAAGCAGAGGCTCTCTAGGGCCAGATTATTATTATTTTTCAAATTAGTTTTATTGAAATATAAGTTAATATGCAAGAAAATTCACCAATTTTCGCATTCAGTCCCCACTACCTTCATTAAAAAAATTACATAAATAAAACTAAAACTAAGTACCTCCCTCCCCCCTAAAAATTCACCAACTTTAAGTTTACAATTTGATGAGCTTTGACAAATAACTCCAACTGTATCTAACACAACATAAAACATTCCATCACCCCATAAGTTCCCCCATGCCCCTTTGAAGTCAATTCCTACCCCTGCGACTTGGGCCCTGAGCTACACTGGTCTTCTTTCTGTCACATTAGTTTTGATTATCTAGAGAAAGAAATCATTCAGCTTGTAGTCTTTTGTGGATAGTGTCTTTTATTTAGTATAGCGTTCTCAACTTTATTATTGCCCCCCTAAGAGCCTTTTAGACATTTTTAGACATTTTTCCCTAATTGTGTTTCCCTCGCTTATAAAATCTTAATATCATAGATGTAATGTTTGTCTGTTTATGGACTGTAGGTATACCTATGTTTTGTACATTAAAAGTAAGATTTTTCATGCCTCAAGAACAAACATTTTCCCCCCATGGCAGGGAATATTGCCCTGTTGAGAACACATGGTTTTGTATAATGCTTTTTTGATTCATCAGTATTGTATAAGTAATTGGTTCATTTTGACTGTATGAAGAGACATTCAAGAAATGAATAAATGCAAATGTATTACAAAGGTTGGGTACTAAATGCGGAATTCAGCTATTGTTCTTCCTAAAATTCGATCCTCAGTTTCCCTGCTATCAGTAAACAGACCTTTTATCACACAGTTGTTTAAGTAAGAAATCTGGGAGTGATTGAGACACTTCCTTTCCCTTCATTTCCCTATATATAATTCATGGCAAATCCTGTCAATTTTGCCTCTAGATTATTTCTTGAATCTAATCTCGAGGGATCAGAATTTGCCATTACCCTGACCATTCTAGACATGTAAGAATTTTGGTTTTTAACTTGAAAGAAATGGGAGGCAATTGAGGAATTTAAATAAGAAAGTAAAATGACTTGATTCGTGTAATTAAAGATTTACATGCCTTTTATTTAGTAAATAATAAATTAGAATTTGGATAATAAATTAGAAGGGACCAAGGATCCTTCAGGAGTCCAGAGGAAAAATGATAGTTCTTTTACGAATGTAGGGGTGGGGATGGGAGAATGGGGAGGCATGCTGTTTTCACTGGGGCCCATGAGAAGAACTTAGCCAAGATCCCACTGCTAGGTGATAACATAGCTGTGATGAGAAATTCAGATACACCTTCCTGTTGCTTGCTCTTGCCTTGATTTAGCCAATTTTTTTTGGCCAAACTAATCAGTATCCTAAAGGAATTAAGTATAAATATTCTTGGATCATTTGTGGATAAATTGGAAGGGATTAAGAGAATTAGGATATGTAAAAGAAAAAAATTATTTTGTGTACTTAATGTATCCACTCAGCTTTCTGTCCATTTTAGGTTCCACCTCCCCCCAGTGGTTGCTGCAGTACTAGTATCCATGTATCAGCTTCAAATGGCCTGCAGTCTAATTTTATGCAAATTGTTTTGAGTATGTAGACATGTCTCTGGGGGCCTCTCAGTGAGGTTTTTAACCTACTAAAGGTTAAGAATCAATGATTTGTGCTTTCAGTCTAGAGTATACAGAAATGTGTATGACAATAGTCTTATTCTTAAGGCACATAAAGTTTACATCATATAAACAAATAAATGACAAAGTCAATTGCCTGTGCGATGTGAACAAAATATGAACAAAATTCTGGAAGTTTGTTAGTTACACTGGTGCTTTATCTCTTTCCAGGTGACTTCTGAAGTATGGCTGGCCACAATATTTCCTCCTGCGTTGAACCTATACTGACACCCCATTTAACCAGGCTCTACTTCGTTGTGCTCATTGGAGGGCTGGTGGGCATCATCTCCATTTTGTTCCTGCTAGTGAAAATGAACACCCGGTCTGTAACCACCACAGCAGTCATTAACCTGGTGGTGGTCCACAGTGTTTTTCTGCTGACAGTGCCTTTTCGCTTGACCTACCTCATCAAGCACACTTGGACATTTGGCTTGCCCTTCTGCAAATTTGTGAGCGCCATGGTGCACATCCACATGTACCTTACATTCCTGTTCTATGTGGTGATCCTGGTCATCAGGTTCCTCCTCTTCTTCAAGCACAAGGACAAAATGGAATTCTATAGAAAACTGCATGCTGTGGCTGCCAGTACCGGCTTGTGGCTACTGGTGATTGTCATTGTGGTGCCCCTGGTTTTTTCTCATTATGGAACTCAGGAGGGGTATGATAAATACCACTGTTTTAAATTCCACAAAGAACTTGCTCATGTACCTGTGCAAGTCATCAACTATATGATAGTCATTATTGTCATAATCATTGCGGTGATTCTTTTGGTCTTCCAGAGTATCATCATCATGTTGATGGTGCGGAAGATACGCCACTCCTTACTATCCCACCAGGAGTTCTGGGCCCAGTTGAAAAACCTGCTTTTTATAGGGGTCATTCTTGTTTGCTTCCTTCCCTACCAGTTCTTTAGGATCTATTACTTGTACACTGTGGCACACTCAAGTGATTGCAACAACAATGCTGCATTTTACAATGAAATCTTCTTGAGTGTAACAGCAATTAGCTGCTTTGATTTGCTGCTCTTTGTTCTCGGGGGAAGCCATTGGTTTAAGCAAAAGATAATTGACTTATGGAATTGCCTTTTGTGCCATTAGCCACAAACTACAGTATTCAGAACTACTTCCTTTATATTGAGAGTGAAGACAGGAATGGTTATTTCATTACTTGATTAAAAAACCATGCCTTGATGCGGTCAAACAGAAGGACTATAAAATGTCAGAGGATTCATTTCAGCCCTTATTTAATTCCTACCATCTCTGAATGATACCTATACAAGGACTAGTGATGTTCAGTCCACCTGGAGTTACAATACTGCATTATTTTCCAATGTAAAATGTCTACTTGGCCCATCCAGGTACCATGGGTCTAATGGTTTCTGAGTTTTACTAGCTTAATGTAGGCTTGTGGATTTTTTCCCTCCTGCCCATATTTCTACTATTTCCCTCAAAGTTTCAAAATTGTGAAACTTTGGAACTGGTCTGGCTTCATATTTGATCCTTCAGAACCTGAAGCAATTCATGTTAGGAAGGGAAGAACTGAATGAATTAAGGCAACTTTTTTTTTTTCCAGCAAGGTAAATGCTCAGGATTTAAAGATTTTTCTTTATTTGTTATACTCTGTGGATCCATAAATTCATCAGATGAATAAGAAATACCCCCGTGGTTTTTATGATCACTAAAATTGTTGAGTCATAGAAATTAGTTTTGAGGGAAAAAAAGCAATAACATACTGTATACAGGGCTTATTCTCTAAATTTCCTGTTTTAAATTTTATCTGTTCTTTTTTTCAAGTTCTTTTAAGAACTTAATTTCTATTTGTCTTCTTTTCTCATCTTTTCTTAGTTTTTCTTCTTTCTCATTTGACCTATAAATTTGTAAGAAAACTTCTAAGACCCCAAAAAATTTTAAGAAAATTTGCTATTACCCATAAAATCTGTAGGAAAATAATTATGGTAAAATATTTTAAAAATTTAAAAAGTATTTATAGGAATGACATTGTTTCTCTTCTTATATATCCATGTCTTATTATCATAATATCTGTCAGCTTGTAGATTGTATTATATAGTCTCTTACAGATCTTAAATATGTTAATGTCAGGCAATATGCTTTTCTCTGTATTATCACATATTATAATAAAGACCTATTTATATAAATAAATATAAATAGGCCTATTTTTGTGGACCTATAAGAAATATTATCCCAAATATAGAAATGCAATATATAAAATATCTTATTCATTAATATTTACAGAATAATGAAAAAAATCCATTTTGCCAGTTCTTTGTCTCGAATTGTTTTAAAAATAAGTCTTTTGCAGGACTGGGAGTGACATTGGCCACTCAGGCCACTTTTGGACTGGTATTTGATGGCTGGGGTCAGAGGCTAGACACCCTGCCTTGTGCGCAATTAAAAATTATCAGGACTTGCTCTGTATTTGAATATTCTTCCAGACATTCATGAAGTAAAACCTATGCTCATAATAATCAGAACAGTTAGTTACTTTTTATTCAGTTTTCATAAACACATAGCATTTTCTTGGTATGGTTTTAATTTTCTGAATTTTTCAGAAATGCAGCTACCATAGATATTGAGGAAAGATTTTACTCTATCTTCCTCAGAACTTTACCAAGAGTTGTTCATTCCTTTGGGAAATCACAGTATCAATGGCAACACCATCTGTGGAATTAACATACAACACAACACACATGTAAACAATACAGGTGCCAACATCAGACTGCCTCATTTTGTCTCCTTTTGTGACCGAATCTGAGCATTTACTCAATGAAATACATACATTTTATTATAAATAACTTCCTCTTTTGTTACTCATATATATATACATATATAAAACAATTTGAACATTATATATGTGTAAAAGGGTTATATTATCTGTGAATTTTATTTTAGAGTGGCAAAAGTGTTACCAAATATCTACAATAAAAAGTAAGGCATTGGGTCTGCAAAGACTGAGAACCAATGTCTACCACAGACATAGTCAATTTAAAAGGGAGATTTGCCAATTTTATGACATTATAAACTGGAAAGATGCTCCTATATTTTGGGAATACTTAACCTCAGTTTGATTCAATTCTAAATGATGTCTTTCATTTCTGTCATGATTAAACAGTAAATGCAACTTTCAGGAAAATACAAAGAAAATGTATATGTATTTTTCCTTTTTGATAAGACAACGGTATTTTCCGTGAGCCTCTCAACTCTCAAATTGGCTCATAGTCAGTATCTACCAGATTTCGAACCCAGGGATAATGATAATTTTTTTTTTCAGTGAAATGAGTTTGTGTGTAATGATTCAAGAAGTGCTAAAAATCTGCAAACCCTCCCCAAATCCTCCTCAATGGGATTGCCATTAAAACAACATTCCTAGGTTAACAGGGCAGTTCTTCCAAAGGAGGGCAGCAGGACAATCCACTCCAGCCATCAACTCTTGAGTGTGAAATCAATGAGGTGAACCTTTGAGAAACTCCATCTCTTAGATTTGGTAGATTTTGCTCACTTAATCTCAAATAACATAGACCAAGGAATCTCATGTATATTGGGGCTGATAGGAATAAGGGAATTCCTTGTGATAGAGGATGACTAGAGCATTTGGAAAATAGTTGGTAACAAAAACCCTATTGTAGAAGGGGCACAGTAATGGTGGATTTGCTTGGATGATGCTTAGAAATCTCATTAGGCAAAAGGGCATCTACAGATATCAGAAACCAGCCACCAGCCAGAGAACCTGAGAAGGATTTTGGTCTTCGCAAGGCTGAACCCTATTTCTGTGATAGAACCAGAATGCTAGGCATTTAACAAGACAGAACTCAGAAAAATGAGCAAGTTCTGTTTTCTGAAGGGGTATACATGTTGGCTGGAACTTCCACAGATAGGAGCTGGGCCCCAATGTCAAAGTGAACTTGATGGAGGCTTCAATATGACACACTGTAAAAGCTATGGTAATCAAACAGTATCATATAAAAATAGACACATAGATCAATGAAACAGAATAGAGAGCTCCAAAATAAACCAATACATATATAGTAAATTACATTATGACAAGGTGCCAAGAATATAAATGGAGAAAGGATAGTCTCCTTAATAAATGTTGTTAGGAAATTTGGACAACCACATGCAAAAGAGAGAAAAGAGATTCCTATCTCATACCATAGACAAAAACCAACTCAAAATGAAATAAAGACAGATTCAAGATCTGAAACTGTAAAACTCCTAGAAGAAAACATAGTTAATAATAACATCTTTGACACTGGTCTTGGCAAAAATTTTTTTGGATTTGACACCAAAAGCAAAGGAAACAAAAGCAAAAATAAACAAATGGGAATTCATCAAAACTAAAAAGCTTCTGTACAGAGAAGGAAACAATTAATAAAATGAAAACCTATAGAATGTAGAAAATATTTGCAAATCATATATCAGAGAAGGGGTTAATATCTAAAATACATAAAATACTCACACAACTCAATAGCAAAAAGCCAAACAGTTCAATTTTTAAAATGGGCAGAGGAATTGAATAGATGTTTTTCCAAAGGAGATACACAAATGGCTAATAGGTATGTGAAAACATTCTCAACATCAATAATCATCAGGAAAATGCAAACCAAAACCACAATAAGATATTACCTCACACTGTTAGAATGGCTATCATCAAAAATTAAGAGATGACAAATGTTAAGGATCTGGAGAAAAAGGAACACTTGTGCACTGTTGGTAGGAATGTAAATTGGTGCATCCACTCTGGAAAACAATATGAAGTTTCCTCAAAAACTTTATTTTAATAAAATATAACTATTATATGATGCAGCAATCCAATTTCTCAGTATATATCCAAAGAAATTGAAAACAAGATCTCGAAGAGATATCTGCACTCCCATGTTCATTGCAGCACTATTCACAGTAGCCGAGATGTGAAACAACCTAAGTGTTCATCAGCAGATGAATGGATAAAGGTATATCATATAAATATATGTGTGATTCTACATATGGTATGTGGAATCTAAAAAGAAAATCAAAGTTTTAGAAGTAGAGAGTAGAAGTGTGGTTACCAGGGGCTGGGATGGTGGGGGAAATTGGGGGATGTTGGTCAAAGGGCATATATTTGTAGTTATGCGAGTATGAATAAGTTTAGAGATCCAATGTGAAGACGTGGTGACTATACTTAACACTGTACTGAACAGTGGAAATATGCTGAGAGTAAATTTCAAGTGCACTTGTCACACAACACAAACAATGGTAACTGTGAGATATTTTATTAACTAACGACTGTAGTAATCATTTCACTATGTATATCAAATTGCATCCTATACACCTTAAATATATTTAACTTTTATTTAAAAATCTTTTAACTATAGTATTAGCTTCTAACTTCTGTCATACTAAAAATACTATCAATACAAAAGTTTACAAAAGATGAACAGGAAAAGGAAAATGTGTTGTTTATTTTAGCACCAGATGGCAGCCCAAAGTAAAAAATTGCATTTGCTTTTTAAAGCTTGTTACTTGAGTTTTTGGAGTTTTTAAAAAATTTTTGTAGTTGTTTTGCTTTTATCGGGGTGGGGGGGTGGAGAGAGAGGAAGTAATTAAGTTTTTTAATTTATTTTTTTTATGGAGGTATTGGAGATTGAATCCAAGACCTCGTGCATACTAAGCATGTACTTTACCAGTGAGTTATACCATCCCACCCTTATTACTTGAGTTTTAAGTTTATTTTTAAAAAGGGGGGAAGGTAGAGAAAAAAAGTGAAGTAATAATAACCTTTTAGAGTTTTCAAAATTCTGCACTTAGATTCTCAGGTTTTTTCTTTAAAGGAAAATTTCAGCTCTGTTTTCCTGTGGCAAGTCAACTGAGATATTGTTAAAATGTATTTCTTTAGCTACATGAGAAAAAATAACTCTGAAAGCAAGTTTTTTTTTTTTGCTTAGCTCATATTTAGAAATATTTATGCTTTATTTCAATAATGATCTGCTGCAACTCATTTTTTAGCTTAAATTAAGTTGATTCTCGCAAATAATTGATAGAGTACACAGTTGTTTTGTGGAAGATTGAAATTTAGGTGACCTATTATTATATTTTTTAATGATTGCAATTGACATAACATTTGAATGCTTTTAACACAGGATTTCAGGAAACTTCCCTACATTTGAAATCTTGAAAAGACTGTAATATATGAGGAAACTTACTTAAGTCTTTCTCTTCAATGACAGCCTATGGTTAGCTCTTAAAAACTTTTATTCTTCTGACTTGTAGATGTGATGAAATATTTCTCCAACTACTATGCTATATAATTTACGACTGCTGAAACCTATATCAGCCAAGAACAACAACAAAAAACCCCAAAAACTAGGAAAGGGAAAGCAAGTTCAGATTTATCCTCTCTGCCACAAAGTTGAATATGTGGTGTCCATTGGGTACCAAGAAGAGAGAAGTGTTCATGAAGATTATTAATGTGAAAAACTTGGTGGTGGTTGCTGTGAATAATCTCAAGCTTTCAGAAAAGTTACAAATAGAATGCAAATAACTTCCTTTTCCTGAACCATTTCAGGGTAAGTGGCTGACCTGATATCCCATAACTTCCTAGTATTTTAGAAGGGTATATTAGTACTGGTTTTTGGAGACCAATCTGAAAATACTTAAAGGAGTTTTAAAGATATATATTTCTTGGTATAGTAATTCTATTTCTACGTCAGTCCTTAGGAAATTCATACATGCAAAAGACCTATGTGCAAGAGTGTACTCTGGAGCATTATTTGTATTAGCAAAAAGTCAGAAAGCAACTAAATGTCTTCAAGTGAGGTGATTAGTTAATAAGCTATGGTATATCCTTGTTGTGGAGTTCTATGGATTAATTGAAAATGGAGGTATATGTTTTGACTTAGAGGACTTCCATATTATAAAGGGGGAAAAAAAGCAACTTGTATCCCATCTCCATATATTACACCAATACATCCAGTCTTTCAGCAGACCCTGTCAAAATAAATCCTGAATCCAACTACTTCTTATCGTCTTCACTATTATCATCCTGTGTCATTCAAGGTCCAGCAAGAAACAGGTGGCATATTAACACTAGGTAATTTGAGGAGGATATATTGAAGGGATTGTTTAATCAATCCCTCAACAAGGGATAGTATAAAATCTTAGGGTTAGCAACAGTGCAGAGCCTTATCATTAGAGGTTTAAAGGGGCAATTGATGGGAGATGTTATAGGACTGAGAGAGAACAGATGTCTGGAGAGGGCTGCCTGGGAGGAGCTATAGTAGAGGACCACACCAACTCCTGTGACTCTACAGGGAGTAAGCAGGGAAAACAAGTACCCTCCTCACCCTCCTCCTGCTCTCCAGTTTCTGCCAGTGTCTCCTATTGGCTGAAAATCAAACCAGCTTTCTGGGACACAAAACACTCATGGAGAAGCATGGGAAGGGATCTGGAGATATGCACAGAATGTACCCAGCACATACCCTAATAATCCAAGGCACTATCTTCTCTTGCCGTAGCCTCTTAACTGCTCCTAATTGCTCTCAAGGCTTTCTACTTGCCCCTGTTGTCATTTAGGAAACAGCTAAAAGGATCCCCTATTTTTCTCCTCAAAACTTTTTAAAGGCTTCTCATCACACAATAAAATCCAAAGGTACTGGCCATCTCCCCAACGTCATTGCCAATCATTCTTCTCTAGATCACTTCACCCCAATCTCACAGGCTTCTTGCTGCTTCTTGAATTTATCCATGAAGTTCCAGCCTCAGGATTTTACATTTCCTGTTCCTCCCTAGAACATTCTCTCCCTAGATAGCCCCGTGGTTTTCCCCTCCAATTCATTTGCATTTCATCTCTACTAAAATGTCACCTCCTCAGAGGGCCTTCCCTGATCATCCCATCAAAAATGTACTCATTTTGCCCTATTTCATACTTTGCTT